TGTATGGTACAGCCATTGTGCATATTAGTACTGAGGAGTTAAATGCCTGTTTGCAATGGAAGATTTACTAGAATAGTGCAACTCCATCCTGTGAATGTCCCAGTCTGAAAAGACCGTCACACCCTGCCTCATTCAGAATTGCTGTGGAAACCAAACTCTTGTCCATTCAAGTAAACGCAGTCTTCCCCCACACTATGCAAACCTACAATTGAAACCTAAGAGCTAGAAAAGGTATCTACAGATGAACAGGGTTTGAGCTCTTGCAACTGCCAATAATCCCTAGTCCCAGTGGCACACAGGAGGCAGCTCCTTAAGAGCTGACACTTTCCATACCTGTAAGTGGAGGCTTGGTATTAAAAGTAGATAGTATATCTGTGTGACCCTGGGCCCCTGCAGCAACCCTGAGGACTTGCAAGTATTTGCAGAAAATCAACAACTGGTGTTTTTGTTTTGTTCCTTGCCCCTATCTCCCACCCCAGGCATTCCACCTAATTAAAGCTGTGTCTGTGCTACTTAACTTTACGCGGGAGGAAGAGAACATGCTCAAAGAAACCTTGGAATACAAGGTAAGGCCTCCATTTTATTTCTGCTGTCCTCAGGTGAGGAATTTTAATATTTTGGGAGGTGGTCATAAGTTGGAAAACAGCCTCTTTCCCAGACTAACTATGGTAGCAAATGGCATTTACTGCAGTGAGCAGAGATCAGCACAGTGCATCCTAGGCTGTTTACTGTGTTTTGCTTGAATCTCATTTGAAAGTGACCCTATATTGGATCCCTATATCAGATTTATGTTTAGTCTGAAGAGTTTATACTAGTAACTGCTGTTCTTTTCTTCACATGAGAGATGTTGAACCCAAAAGCACAGCCACCTACTTTGCATTACATGACTGTGACTTTATATTCTGATTCTGCCTGTTATCCCAATGAGAAATCTTAATATTTATGGAAGTAGTATATGTTTCAGCAAAGGCAAGTGCAGGAGAACTTTCCATTGTATCAGCATAGTATGAAAAACAGCACCAGGGCTCAGTGGGTGAGAAGCCAGGAGCATCTCAGTTCTAGCCTACTTGACTTCCAGAGGAAGTCTGGCTAGGTGTTTAGAGCAGGGAGCAGAGTTGTTCAGTCACTTAAAACTAATGAGAGCAGAAATGTGTTTTTTCCAGCTTTGACAGTAGCTAATCAGTGAGGACAGTTTCATTTTGATAATCTTAAGTTTTGAGGTGCACTGGATGCAAAAAACACAGCCCCATGTTTGATACATTCTATAAATGCTTGTGTTCAGCAACTCCTGGGGCTATATCTGTGCTGCTATCCCTTAAATCCAGACTTTAAAGTAAGAGTCTAGCCTAATGTGTGTTTGTGCTCTCCAATGCCAGATGTCGTGGTTTGGATCAAAGCCATCTCCTAAAGGCAGTATCCGGCCATCCATCTCAAGCTCACGGACACCATGGTCTTAAGAGAATCTGAAAATGGGCAGTCGGCATCTAACCACTTTTTTTCTGTGAAAAGAACACTGTGCACACCAGTTCAGGTGTGTCTTAACTGTCATTGCAGTATTTTGTACAAGAATTTTGACACTGTTTACAGTATTGTACAAGAAGCATCCTTCACTGCAAACATAAATGTTTCCTCTAGGGTGGATTCAGGGACTTTGGATCAGACTGTTAGCCCTGTAACAGCCAGCTCCTTCTGCTCATCAGTCCTGGCTTGTGGTGGCACCAAAGGATTATACTAATTTCATTGATACTGGTGCTGGCAGTTCAAGCTACTCCTATTTGCACCTGTCAGGAGGGAATTCCAGCTTCTGTTGTGAAATGCTAGAGCTGCACATGTCTAGGTACTGTAAAGTTTCCTCTTCTCACTGTGGAAAGCTGGCAAAGTAAGGGTGTTTGCAGTACAATGTATTCAATTCCAGACAGTTTGGAAAGCCATTCAAAAACAGGAGCAGGGGCTTTTAACCAAAATCAAACAAAAAGCCTGCCTTGCTTTGTTATCCTGACCTTACAGTAGTGAGCATTTGTTCATATCGCTGTGTAATTTAAGGTGCATATATCCTGGCCTGCAGTCCTGAAGACTGCACTGACAAATATTTAATTTCAGCAAGAGAGAGAGCACAACTTTAGAGTTGTCTGGTTTTACTTTTCTTAAAGAAAATATTTAAGATGGTCTTAATTGCAGTACCTAGTACTCGGTTGGCTTTTAAAACTAATGCGTTAGTTTATGCTGTAGGTTGTTAGTATTGGGAAGAGAGAGAGTAAACCATTTTAAATACTTTTAAAGTTGAATTTGTTACTGTAAAACACATTTAAAAATATGAACTCCAATGGTTAAGAAAAAATATCTTAATGATATGAAGGGTAAAAAGAAGTCGGTACAAAGTATCGTGATTTTTTTTCCCCCCTCGCCCCACCCTTTTCAATCAGCCTCCTTTTCTAGCAGTGTTGGCTTTATGTATTTCAAATATTTACACTTAACAATAACTACACTTTAAGTTAAGGTGGTGGGGGCTAGTAATTCTTACCTGTCATGCTAAATGATAAAAAGAACATTACTTTTTTTTTCTTCCAATAATGGCAGAATTTGTCTTGGCTCCAATATCCTCCTCCTTCTATGGTAGGAAGAAGTTTGAGTTGTGACCCGCCATGTAAAAGTTGAGAGCAGAATTTTGCCGTTAGCCTCTAACCAAAAACACTAGATGAAAACTAGGAAGTAGCAGTCAGTTTGGCTTTTTTGTTCTGAAAAAAATGGTATTTACAAAAACTCCTGCGTATTGTATACAGAGAATTACTATGGTCAGTAAGTGGCAGGCTGCAGTTTCAGTTGTCTTTTACAAAGAGGCTTATGGTTATTGCTGAGTGACAGTATTTTTTATCAGATAAGCCTTGAAGAAAATTCAGCATGTCCAGTTTAAGTACTTCTTTCTCACTGGTAAGACAGTCATGGTGGATGTTCATTATGTTAATCTGAACCTGTGAGGGTGCTACTAGGAGTAATGTCTGTGAATGCTGAGAGTAATTGCCACTGCAGTAGCATGAATTGTGCTCACAACTTTGCTACATTTCTTAATGAAATAAAAACAACAGGATTCTTCTGGTAGGCTTTGCTCTAAAACTTACACTTATCTCCACTGTCTCAGTGCCCAAGGCATTAACTCTACAGCACAGGTATGGAGAAGTTAACTTGCAGGAAGAGCACGGAGACCCAATTACCAATGACAGTCTTAAGTGGTGAAGACCTGCATCTTTCTTCTGTTCCCAAACAGAGCAATCAGAGCTATACCCCAACTTCATTTTACCTCCTGGAACAGAGTGAGAAAATGTAGAGATGAATAGCACTCTTCATACTGGTAGACAAACACTGCCACCCCAGGTCCAATGTCTGCAAGAAGGGGCTAAGTTCTAGCTACTTTTTGACACTGCCTTTCTTGAAGCTCTTATATGCCAGCTGGCTGTTGAGAATTTGGAGTCCTTCAATCTGAACAAGGTGGTGGCGGCTGGATCCTAAAAAACACGGTGCACTTACTGAATGAATAGCACAGCTCCGGTTTAAAAATCTTGAGTTCTTATAAAAATACTTTGCCCTGAGCAAGGTTCCTTGTGTTGAATTTTCTTTAGAGACCAGAGCAGGAATGGTGTATATATTGAAGAGTTAATGCACTTTTCTTTGTATAAAAGCTGTGATATATTCCTTTCTATAAACATTTTGCCATTGGATCTTAATCTCTTCTTTCATGTTGTAAATATGGATTGTATTATGGAACACTGAAATAATTGCAGAGACTTTGTGGTGCAATATACTTTTGATTAAAACTCTGGATTTCTTTCTCTTCAAGTTTCAGTTACTTGCACACTGTTCCTATGTCCATTGTCCAACTATAGTGAAGGATTTAAGCCTCTACAGTACCTCTGAAAATCAATACAAATAAGAAATTCTCTCTTAAGAATGGGTGTACTGGCAAGTCTTTATGCCACAGTAGGATTTGGCATCCAGTGGGAAGTGGCTAACTAAACTCAGCAACAGCTGGAAGGAGAGACCATGGGAGTTCATTCTCAGTTCCAAGCAGATATGCTTTCAGTTGACCTTGCTGCATCCCTTCCATTCCAGGACAGTTTGCCTAATGCAGAAAAGCACTTAAAGAAGCAGTTTTCTTCAAGTTGACTAAGCCATCTTAGTTGTTATGAATAGGGAGAGCTTACTAGTTTCTCTAAAGGCTCATTTGTGAGAGAGACTGAGTTTTGCTATATGCCACATCTTGCACAGAAAATAATTTTCCAGGAAGAACAGGAACCCAGGCTTCTGCACAGTGACCAAATAGAGATTGCAGGAGCCAAAACTGGTAGCAGTATAGAAGGGGGAAGAAGCTGTTGCACCTCTTCTGATTCAGTTATATTAAATCACAATCTTCCATGTTGTACAGAGATGGAAGTGTGAGATACAGATTTGTGTCAACATAGTAATGGGCTATTACTTAAAAAATCCTCTACAAGGACATTTAATAGCATGAAAGTATCAGAGAACGAGCTGGCAATCTACTCTTAAGTTTTTTTTTCAAATGGAATCACCATCTTTGGAGGTTTTTCAAGACCTGACTGGGATGATCTAGTTGGGTCTGGTTCTGCTTTGTGCAGGGGGCTGGACTTGATGACCTCCTGACATCCCTTCCAACCCTCATTTTCTATGATATCATGAAAGACTTTTCTCTAATAGCAATATCTGGGGCCTGCACTTCAAAGTATTTCTTTTCTCACCTGGCACAGATGGAAGTACAAAATCAAATTAGAAAAAATCCAGGCAAAACACAAGTGAGCTTTTATCTTGCTATTATTGTTATTACAATTAGGTGCTTGGTTAAGAGAGTATTTTTAATTTTAAAATTTAAACTTTTAAAAACTAGTGTTGTATACAAGTGAGATCACAGGCCAAAAATAATCTGCTATGTTACCTTTGAACCAATAGCATTTGTATGAATTAATTTAAAAAAAACAAACAAACCAAAATGATTTACTCTTACAATCCAAAAACTTTATTGATGCAGCAGGCACTTTACAATGAAGTCAGCCTAGTAGTCCAACTAGTCTTTTGACCATATGTACAAAAAACCTCAAAAAGCCTTTCAAAGGAACATTTACTTAACCCCAAAACCATGAGATTCTTGCTTCTGCCAATGACATAGCTACCTCTTAAATATGCAATACACACAGGATCTCATGTCACCACACTTTGATAGAGCAGCATCAGAGAATTACCTCTTCACTTACAGTAACAGGAGGGCAGAACTTGTACCTTCTGCTCTACTTAAACAAGAAGGGAATGTCTTGGCTCCTGCATTAGATAGTCAGAAAATATACAGTAATACATTTATTCTTCTCCCCACCTTTAAAATTAAGAGCATTCCAACAGGAGGTTTCCAAAGTATGTCAGTAGATTGCAATTTCTAGAAAAGATGGACCAGTGTTGTGTCAGTTCTTTCTTCTGCGTCCAAAACTGAGCGTCATCTCGGTTCAAGTTAATAGTCTTTTAAACAGTCTTTCTTGCTGTAAGAACTCTTACTATGGAACCTAGTCCACCTATTGCTAATGCCTGTGAGGGTGGGAAAAGGAGACATATTATACATGTGATCACTACAGCATACACACATAAGGTGTCTTAAAAGCAAGAGCAGATGTTAGTTAGCCCTCTTTCTATACTTAGTACCACTCGAACACCGCACTCCTCTCCTTTTGTTACCTACAGCTTCTGAAATGTTCAGACCTTCTCTGACATTACATAGGAACACAAGAAGGAAGTGCTCGCCTTAAACTTCTAAAATCGTTCATTAAAGAAAACCCTGATTTTTTTTCTGACATGCAAGTTAAAAGCATGGTACCAGCTTAAATAGATTTTAGTGTTTCTGTAAATGCAAGAAGTAAGGAAGCGACCCTGCTTCTCTCCTTGTAATCTCATATTCTGATAAAGAAACATCCTATTATATTGGAGTGCGCCAGTGTTACCAAGGAAACCTATCGACAAATTTTAAATGTGCTGTCAGTTCAAGTAGTGGTTGTGCTTTCAGTCGACAGTCATTGTTCAACTGTGATCATCACTGAAAGACTCCTTCAAGCAGCACAACAGAAACATCGCTGCAGGGTTTAACCCACACTATTTTAAGCAGACCACAAAGCCATTCCTTACAGTTGCTGTCAGCAAGAGAAATCAGAAATTAATGTCACCAGCACCTACTCCTTCTCTTGCTCTCTCCCTAGTCTGTGCAGGTTCGTCCTGCAGCTCTAGGAAAGAGTTACTTGTGGTAACAGAAGTCATCTGTTCATACTCCAGTAGTGCTGCTTACAGCACTGAAGAAGGACAGCCTTGCAATTAAGGAGGCTAGGCTGGACCTTGAGCTGGATTCACTGAGTTCATCTGTCAAATGGGCATAATGGTGATCTCTGTCTTCAGGCATGCTGTTAGCCACGTGACAATCCAATGCTCTTCAGTTACAAACTATTTTCAACCACATGCAAGAGCCCAAGGACACGTAAGCAAATGGCACCGATCACAACACTATCCTGCAGGCCATTTAAGTTTCAAGAAAGAGTAAGAGACTAACAAAACAAGTTTCTTTTCAGTTTGGTTTCTGTATCCTGATGTACAGACAGAGAATGCCATGCTTGTTGAGCTCTAAAAAGTGAATATACTTATGGCAAAGGAAAAAGATATCTATGAATTATTAACATACACAACTTTAAGACCATCTCAAGCTCATTAAAATTGTTTACCTACCAGACATAAAGCAAATACAACCTGTGAGATATTACAGCTTATGGAACTGGAGCAATGGTGACAGCATTAGACTTTTTGCAGCTTAAGGAAGTGTGCTAAGTCAGGGTGCAGCACAGGCAGTAAGCATTCCTATCTTGTGAGCCTTGTCCTTACTACTGAGTTACTGGCTCTGATCCTGCTCCCCAAAAGGCAGCACTTGATCTCAGATGTAATACCATCTCATAACCAAACAGCAAAATCCTCCCCCTAAAGAGGTTATGCGCTTCATACCAGTTGTTATGCCACTGGGCAGGATACACACAGCTGCACATGGCAGCTGTGCAAAGTCTACTTCAGAACTGCTTTGTTCTTTTCAAA